TTCCTTTTTCTTTCGACGCTCAAAGTCTGTCCTTTTCATGGGTAGAATTCGTTCCTCTTTGTTTCTTGGAGCTGCATTCGCCATTTTCAAGCTTTAATCTTGGATCACTCGGTTGGTTTTTAATATTATTTTCAGTTTTCTACTGTGAACACTTCGAGCATTATCTCAATCTCAATGCAGTATCTCAATCTTCAATTCCATTTTATTCTTTTTCTTCTTATGTTTTTCTTGTCTTGGACTAAAAATTCAAGGTACCCATTTCTTTTAAAGTTGAGAAATTTGTGGTCTGTAAGACTATAACTGTTCCTCTGCTGAGATATTTATGCTAATCTCTCTCTCTCTCTCTCTCTCTCTCTCTCATTTGCTCGCTTTTTTGTTTTGAGGTTTTTGGTTTTTGTTATTGGCGTTGGCTTTCTCACCAAATGGGTTTGATACAAGTAATCAGGTCTATTGAATTTGTCAAGTTTGGATAGCAGGTAAAGCATCAAGCTTCTTGCCTTCGTAGACAAATCCATACTGAAAGAGGGGTTGAAAAATTTATGTGCCGACTGAAATCTTTTATGCTTCTTCAGGAGGATTTTTGAGATATTTCTATTCTTTACACAATTGCTTACTCCATTTCTTTTGGGTACACTGTGAATCAGTTCAGTTATTCTATTGATTATTTGTTTCAGCTTGTTAGTTCTGTAGTCCTGCAATGTGATACAGCTTCCTTTAATTTTTGTTTTATTTTTTTATTTACTTATTTATTCAGTACATTATATTTTGTTGCTATGGAAAAGCTTGCTTCTTTAGATAAGGTGCTAGTTTGTAGATTTAACTTCAAATTAACACTTTTTTCCTTAAATATGGTGATAAAATGTGATTTATAAGTTAAAGACTTCTTTTTTCTTCCATTACAAATCTTTGGCTTGTTCTTCCTTTTTCTTTTCCCTTGGATTTTAAAGGGTCTCAGTAGTTTAGTTTTTATCCTTGATTTGTCATATTTTGATGACCTTGCGATGTTTTCTCTTGGTTTACATTAAAGATATTGTTTTCTTACAAAAATATGAACTTCTCAAATAGTTTCACAGATACCACAGCTTCCTTCCATTCTTACTTCTTTTTTTGGGGTCAATCTTTTATCAATGGTAATGTTTTGAGTACTTTTCCAGGATTAATTTTTTGGTTATGTGAACTTAAGATTAATGATTTTCAGTTTACATATAGACAAGGAAGGTAATCAGGCTTCTCCAATGGAGCATTATGAGGTACTCGAGCAGATCGGGAAGGGATCTTTTGGTTCAGCCCTTCTTGTGAGGCACAAGCATGAAAAGAAAAAGTGAGAGTCTGCTACACGTTTGGCTTTTCTTAAATGAATTTCATGATCCAATATCACGTTTTCAGACTGAATAAATTAAATTTATCTATTTTTGCTTATCCAATTTTTTAAATATGTGACAAGAAATAAAATTTAATTTACGAATAGAACTTATCTCTTGGTTATTTCTTTCACTGACTCTTTCTCTAATTTTTTGTCATCTTAAGGTATGTACTGAAAAAAATTCGTCTTGCTCGCCAGACTGATAGGTCTCGCAGGTCAGCACATCAGGAGGTTGGTGTTCTTAATTATGGCTCCTTTCAATTTATTCATGATGTCTTTTAGGCCTTCCTTCTTGTTAAGGTTGCATTTCCATATTGACCAAATGAGGATCTAGTTAGAATCCAACATCTCTATGGCCTTGGTCGGGTTGCAAAGTTTCATGTATTTAAGTGAAAGATTAAAAGGAAAAGAAGAAAAGTCATTGTCCAAAATGGCGAAAGAAGTTAGATATACAGCATACCAGTACCTCCTGTTCATAGTAGCCAATATAATATATTACTACCATGGCATATTTATCAAATCTTGAACACTTAATTAATATAACTGCTGCTTGAGCCTGTGATATGTTCCTGGTATAGATATACACGATGGTTTGATTATGTGAATTGACCTTTTAAATGGTTCATGTAGATGGAGCTTATTTCAAAAATACGAAATCCCTTTATTGTGGAGTACAAAGATTCCTGGGTTGAAAAGGTATGTAAGGCTTCTAGTCTCTGCATTCTTTATGGTTGCAGAATCTTTTTCTTTTCCCTTTCCCCTATTACGGAATGAGCATAAGTGCTGTACTTCTTTGGTCCCTGATAAGCATTGGTGTCATTTGTTAATGTGATATGCAATTTTATTTCCTTGCATTTTCAGCCAATCACTAATTTTGTATGCTTAAAAATATGATTTTGATTGAGCAAAATTTCCTTTTTCCTTTTCATCTTGTGTGAATGGCTGAATGCCTTCACTGACAAAATTTTCAGCCTGTTTTCACAAAAGGATGTCTAAAAGATATTCAATCTTTACAACATCAAATGTACATTCTTCTTTTCTCCCATGCCCACTCATTTTTGTCTCTACTCTTGATTAAGAATAACTAATGTGAGTTTGAAAATTGAATCCTGTAAGGGGCTTGAATAACTGCATTTCTTAGCCACCAAAAATTGTTCATCTACATGCCATAGAAACCAGCCTACAGGTTTGTCCACTTTCTTGTACCAAATTAGTTGTGAGCACATTTGATCTTCACACCACCAAACACCATCTGGTCTTTTCTAAGGAACATCTTCATGATGTTAGTGATAGTTCTTTTTCTTTTTCTAATTTTCATTTCCCATCTCGTATTTCACTGCGTCCTAAGGACCCTGGTTAATAGCTTAAGGTCTTACTTTAGTTGATATTGATGCCTCTATTTTCAGGGTTGCTATGTATGCATTATTATAGGTTATTGTGAAGGAGGAGACATGTAAGTTTTTTCTTTTCGGTGATCTTGGGTTTGTGAAATAGCAGATTTATTCTCATGGACTTAAAGTCTTGCAATACCTTAATCATCATTGCTGTATTTTTTTTTCTTACACAGGGCAGAAGCTATAAAGAAAGCCAATAGTGTTCTATTCCCTGAAGAGGTTTGTATATATATTTTGGTGTCTCGACCCTATTTATCCTAGTGCTGCTAAGTGATTTTCTTTCTACTTTGGTTTCTTGAATTTTTCCTTTTTTGGTTACAAAGGTGCAAGCTTGAGAATCCTTTACTCAAATTCTTAATGTCTATACTTTACAGAAGCTCTGTAAGTGGCTAGTTCAACTCCTGATGGCACTTGATTATTTGCATGCTAATCATATTCTTCATCGAGATGTCAAGGTTGGTGAGACATTTTGTGTATCAAGTGGTATTATTGCTCATTCCAAAAGCTTTACTTGATTCATACTGACAGTCTTTCATGATTAATTCAGTGTTCGAATATTTTCTTGACAAAGGAGCAAGACATACGCCTTGGTGAGTTTTTTATTTCTTTTCCCGGGTAACTCTATTTGGAGATGTTTTCAGTTTGCTACTGATATTTAATCAATGCCTTTTCAGGCGATTTTGGACTTGCAAAAATTTTGACATCAGAAGATCTTGCGTCCTCTGTGAGTAGCTCGTTCTCTAAATAAGACAGGCTTCCGGCTTTATGTTTTTGCTTCTTATTATCATCTGTGAGAATTACTTCCTAATACAGGTTGTTGGAACTCCCAGTTATATGTGTCCAGAGCTTCTAGCTGATATACCTTATGGTTCTAAGTCAGATATTTGGTCTTTGGGTAAGAGAAGCGTTTGTTTACGTGCAGAAGTTATTTCACCATGGGAGTAATTGTTCTATCTTATTAATGTTAAGAAATATGTTATCCAGGATGCTGTATATATGAAATGACTTCTCTTAAACCCGCCTTTAAAGCTTTCGTAAGTGTTTCCTTTTTTTTAATATCATTTGCTTTGTTGGGAATTCGGAATTCTTTCCTTATTAATGTTTTTGAGTTCACTGCATTAGGTCTAGGCAGTTGACAGTTGCCATGGATTGATTTTTTGTGCTGAAAAATGGTAGCGTCTCAAATGATCTCCTAATTTTCTGTTTGGCTGAGATCAAACAGCTTTGAGAACTAAAAATGAACATGTAGCATCTAGTCTACTTTTATTGTCAAAATTGGTTGCCAAGTAAATCATGTGACTGAAGTTAGACGATTTAATGTTTTCATGAAGCTTGTTCCTGATGGTAAGAAGTTGCGTTTTATAGCTTCGATATGGCCAGGTTTTCTCGACCTATTAGTTTGACTTTGAAGCTGGGAAGTTTTCCCAGTATGGCCATTGAGGGTTATGCCACTAAGCAATTTAGCTGTTCACAAGCATGCACAACTTTGTTTGGTCAATTGCATTATGGTTCTTTTTTTTTGAAATAAAAGTATAGAATCTGGTATTAATGAGTACCAAGCTGGTGTCAGCCCTTGTACAAAAATATTTACAAGTCAATTTATTATTTAGGTCCCCTAAATCCTCCAACGAACTTATTAGAGTATGACCTAATAACAAAAAATCAAAGTGTAGAACCATCTATTCTTAAGTATGTTAAAAGCATTCACATCATCGACTCTTTCAGAAACCCTTTTGTTCCTCTCGTTCCACACTGTCCATATTATATTAACTGGTATTAATTCTGCTATTTTACTCCTCTCTCTAATGCCCATCTATGCTCAAATCTCATTTCTTACAGATCCAGGCATCTCCTAACTGATGCCTAACAACCCATACACCATAACCCACAGCTGATACACCATTGGAAACTAAAGCAAAATATGATTACAACTCTCCTCTGCCCTCTTGCAAAAGAAACAAGTATTTACCAAAATCTTTCTCCGTTTCCCCAAGTTGTTAATAGTTATGATGCATTCTCTACTTGCCTCCTATGCAAAAAATGATACACGAGGAGGCACTTTTGCTTCCCAGAGTCTCCTGCAATATTGAGCATTATGTTTCTGATATGGAACTGGGATATTTGTTTCTTACGGTGCCTTAAAATGTAAAATAACTACAACAAAGTTGTTTTTTTAAATAAATTCAGTATTAAATAAGCTCTCGGCAGTATTATGGAAGTTCTCAAACCAGAATTCATACTTGATCATGGTTAGGTACATTTGTTGGTTGTGTTGAAAAGCAAGTATTATCATGAAGTGATATCTCATGCATATAACAAAATACTAGCAAAAGGGTGATTATACTGTGTTTGAATATTTCATCTATTGATACTCTTTCTTGTGCGGCCAAATCATTCAGTATGATTAATCATAAAAGATTTTTCCATATCTTGTCCGGCTATGTTTGATCTTTCTTGAGAATGTTTATCATTTTTATGATCTTTGGTTTTATTTCTACTCTTCTTACCTTTTTCGTCATTTGAGCAGGATATGCAAGCACTGATAAACAAAATAAACAAATCAATAGTGGCTCCCCTTCCAACAAAATATTCCGGTGCCTTGTAAGTTATTTGCTTGGATTGTAAAATTGATTCAGCTATGCACTAGAAACAAGACGATACTTCTTCTAGTGCAATGTTAACTTACTGATTCAGCTTATCGGTTTATGTTCATACTTAAATCCTTCATGAATTTTATTGGTTTATGTTCCTGCTCGAATCCCTCATGAATTTTACCCCTTTTATAGTTCTCTATGTTCAAGTAATGGAAACTGTCGGGCTAATGATTTTACTTGATTTTATTTTCAGTCGAGGTCTCGTTAAAAGCATGTTGCGGAAGAACCCAGAACTTAGACCAAGTGTATGTATAATCTTTCTCCAATCTATGTATTGTAATAAAAAATTTTATCTTCCACCATGCAAGATGATCTGTGGAGTTGATTACATAAGTTTCAATCCTGCTGTAATATTATAGCTATATCTGCTATAATTACTCATATTATTTAGATAGTTCTTCTAATTCGAGGTGTATTATGGCAGGCTGAAGAGTTACTTCGGCATCCGCACCTTCAGGCCTATCTCCTCAAGATTCATCTCAAAATCAATAACCCGAGACGCAACACCTTACCAGTCCAGTGGTCTGAATCAAAAAACATAAAGAAAACTAGATTTTCGGAGCCTTTGTCAGCTTACAGAGAGAAGCGGCATTCCCACAGCAATGACAGGACTTTAAATCCGAGTATATCTGGTGCTGAGCTAGATTCTATATCTTCAACCAAAGGGATCCGCCGTGAGATCCCAAGTTATCTGAACAGAAAGTTATCAGATTTGTCGATTGAGAGCAGCCATGAAGGGACAGTTATTTGTAAGGCCATTGCTTCCAAAGCTTCAAATTTCGCCAAGTCCTCAGGACGAGTTCCTGCCAAGGTTTCAGCCACTCCTAAGAAACAGACAGAGAATGCTAAAAACCGTGACTTGGTAACAGTCAGAAGAAGATTTTTTTTATTGTTTTTTTTGTCATACATGTTCATAACACACAAAGCAAGTCTGAAAGGTCATTTTGCTATATTTGCAGTTTGCTGTGTCACGTATTCCGACTAAAAATTCTGTTCCCACTACTCGTCGTGCATCTTTACCATTGGCAACAAGAACTGCAATCAAGCAAACCTCCTACAGGCCTAATATTGGTATCCTTCACCATATAAAATCTCCAGATGTTTCTGTCAACGCTCCTCGAATTGACAAGATAGCAGAATTCCCATTAGCTTCGTATGAAGAAGCCTTCATTACGGCACGCAGAACCTCATCAATCTCTGCACAGGGCTCTAATGGTTCACCAATATCACACGATTGTTCAATCACAAAAGACAAATGCACTGTTCAAACATGTGACAGAGCTTTTTCGAAGCCCAGGTTCTCCGATGCATGGCAGGGAATTCAGCGTAGCGTGTTCAAAGCAGACAGGGAAAATGGAAGTGATTGCTCTGATCAAAATGCAACTGCTGGGGCATCAAGTCGTACCTCATCAGACACACGTCAACGAAGATTTGACACATCATCGTACCAGCAACGAGCTGAAGCTTTGGAGGGTTTGCTTGAGTTCAGTGCAAGATTGCTGCAGCAGGAAAGGTATGAAGAACTCAATGTGCTACTAAAACCATTTGGACCAGGTAAGGTCTCCCCAAGGGAAACTGCCATTTGGTTGACTAAGAGCTTCAAAGAGAATACTGTCAAGCCTGAAGATTGAGAAAAGCCAACCACTTTCCATTTGTATCATATCCTTAGTTGTTGTACCAATTTTCTAGAGTCTGATATATCGGTTTTTTCGTTTTTTCTTTAACACGATTTATGTCAAGAGACAGTAGTCACTTAGCGAATGCTGACTTATAGGTTGTAATCAATCTTTTTATGTGCCATGAGTCTTGATATATTTTATTGAGGTAACATTCAGATCTGATTTTACCTGTTTTTATCTCTGGTTGAATACGATAACAAAGAAATTTGATGATTATACCAAGAACTTATAATTCGAAGTTTGTTTATCATGAAATATATGATAATAAAGTAAAAATTGCCGTAATTTTGGCATTTAAAAGATTTGTCATTCGTATTTACACTCATTTAATGATTATATCAAAGTTAACTCGTGATTTGGATTAAAATTTTAACTATGAATATGTGTTTTGCAACAATCTCATAAATCTTCTATCAGAATTTAATTCTGAACATGGGTTTTGCAAGAATCTCATGAATCTACAATGCAAAGGAACAAAAAGGATGGAAGGTTGGAGAGCTCCATCAAGTGAAGGAGAATCTTTAAAAATAAACCAAAAAAATGGACGGTTAAGAAAGCTCCATCAATTCAAGATTAATCTTGACAAGTTAAGAGCTGCAAATGGCATAATGAGGGAGGTTTCTGCAGGCCGTAGAGAATAGATAGTGACAGAAAAAAACATAAACCCACTTGATTTAAAAAGTCAAGCCTCGAAATTTTTAGAAAGTTGAGTCAACAAGACACCAACAGAAGTTCAAATGTATAAATTGGAAAACTTAGCAGAGTCTTACAATAGTCTATGGACACAGAGAACATATACAGTTTACGTGATTCGATTGTTCTGATCTATGCGTTTTTCTGGGTAGGCCTAAATCCGGAGTGCTGGTGGTCGTGGGCTCAAGTTAGATATGGGAAAGGCGAGTAAATGGATGATCAAGCTACTGTTAGGCAAGAGAGAAGAGAAAGGAAAGAATAAATATATTTCTTCATCAGAAGAAAGTAAGTCAATCTCAGCTCCATCTTTTCCAGCAACTCCTTCTAGACATCGATGGAGCTTTCGAAGATCAGCAAGTGAAGAAAGAGTTAACAAGAGTTCAAAGTCTTCTGATTCAATTAATGCTTCCCCAGTCCTAAAACATGTCAATTCACAGCTCGAAAAAAAACATCTGAACAACGTTAAAACCCTGAAATTTTCAACAAAATATGGTGTTAGCAGAGCAATTCAAGATGCAGCTGCTACGAAAATACAAGCCGCCTTTCGTTCTCATTTAGTATATAAATTCAAAACCTTTTCGTCTATTTAGTTTTGTTACGAAATTATAATAACAGTCTCTCATTTGATCTATATTGATGGGATTGTAGGCAAGAAAAGCCTTATGGGCTTTGAAGGGTCTGGTGAAATTACAAGCACTCGTAAGAGGTCACCTGGTAAGGAAGCAAACTACTGCAACTCTTCGACGAATGCATGCATTAATGGCAATACAAGTTCGAGCTCGGTTTCAGAGAATCCAGATGACTGAAGAATCCCAACTTGTTGCCAAAAGCCTGTCATTAAGACATGCAGAATTCCCTCTTCACACCCAAATCAACAAAACCCAAATGGTATGTAAAACCTTTTCCTCTGCAATATCCTCACATAATCTACCATATATGGCTAATATACAGTCTCCTTCGCTTTCTACAGCAAGATATTGGTGTGGGTCTTTATGAAGAACCAGAAGAATTGAAGAGCAAACAGAACAATTGGAATCATCCAAAGATTAGAAGAAGAGACAACGAAATTGCAAGATCATCTTCTGGAGAATTTTCATTTAGAATTCAAGAAGATCAATTAAGAGATCTTGGCCTAGCAGGAAACAGTCCTTACCAAGGCTATCATAACATGTCAAAGCCAATTCCAGCAAGAGCATCTTTCACTTACCAGCAACCAGATTATCCAATAAACCCTTTATCAAATACAACTGATTTCCAGTTCCGGCCACATTATATGGCTAACACAACGTCCTCAAGGGCTAAAGTTAGATCACAAAGCGAACCAAAGCAGCGACCCAGATGGAATATGAAGCAGAAGAACAAGCAGACATCTCCCCTGGATGAATTAAGAAATAATGGCTTGGTAGATAGTAATGGTTGTAAGTATCAGTTTTCTTCTTCATACTCAAAGCGCTTTGATTATGGTTATGAAGGCCATGATCCTTGGTTTATGGAACTTTATCAAGCAACAAGATCATTAAATGACAACGAGTTGAACACAGGCAGCGCAACAGATGATTCCGACTTCTCCAAGAAACTTCTTGCTTATTCAGTAAGTTAAATTATAAGCCAGATTGGTGATGGTGCTTTCATAGTAAGAGCTTCAATTTGAAGCTTTGGATTGGAAAAAGAAAAATGTGAAGCTGGTTTGTAGTTAATTTCAGTAAAAATAAAATTTAACCATAACTTTATTAGATCAGTTAAACAAAAAAATCAAGTGGTCATGAAAACGAATATATACATATATATACACATATATACACATCTTTAAAGGTATCATATAAGAAAATACCTTCAATTGCTGTTTTGTATTATGAAAATGTAGTTATTTACATTTTTTTCAAACAGAACCATGAATAAAAATTATAAATTCATTATTCAACTGATACTTCTATTACTTTGATTTTGTTCTTTTATTTCTTACTTATAATACTGTCAAAATAAATTATATGAATGTCATCTCCTTCTTTAACTAAATGTATTTTGAGTAAATGGAAATTCAATCATAACATAATGAAAACATTCAACTCCAAATAAATCCTGAAATGTTCATAATTTCAATTCCCTTTGAAATGTTCATAATGTTCTAGTTGAACAAAGCAACGAATTCGAATAAATTGCACAAATAATTAATTTACTTTACTCATACCTAAACTCTACTAGAAAGTTAGTTAATTTAAGTTTGAATGAGTTCTATTTTTGTTGGACCAAAAAGAAAGTAACTTTTATAGATTTACAAAATTTTTGGAACAAAATGATAAATATCTACCAAACTGGAGATGATGACATCCTTCTTCCCTTCCTTCCCCAGCAAGCAACTCTGGATACTCATCTAGGAAAAAACAAAAAATAACCTGCACATTGACCAAAACACAAGTTGGACAGGTTAACAGAATAGTACTTCTTAGCACCCAACAGAAGATGTAACAGCAGGACCAGCTTCCTCTAAGGGGGCTTCTAAACCGATTAAACTTCAGTTTAGAACTAAATGTTTCACTTATTAAGAGTTTAACGACGTTGAGTATAGTTCAAAAATCGAATGAGAATATGAATATGTTTAAACTAAATATAACATAGCGATAAACAAGTTAACCCTCAAAATGATAAAGCGGATATAGTAGGCTCAGTGTCTTATAAACTGGCTTGAGCGAGATATGACCTGAGGTCCCACATTAAAGCATAGGAAACCTAAGTTTAATATAGTGTGGGTAGGTTCCATATAACAAAATGTGAAAGCTATATGCGACTTTGGCAAGTGAAAAGAAGTTGGAATTGGTAAAAATGTACGAAGAAGATCCAGATGTAGCACTTGTTCTTAGCAGATTAGGAGTTAAATGTGTCGAAGACTGACCTTTTCAGACCATTCCTCGTCCTCAATTCATAAATTAGAAATTTTAGTCCCAACACAAAAGGCATTTGCCTGTTTTACGTGAATATAAATCTCCACAAGTTGCAACTTGTTTACGGATTCAATGTCTTGTGGAATGCTACCTGCACATGTAACAAATTCAAGGTAAATAACTGCCATTTAAATTGTAATAGAACACTGAAAATATTTAGTTATACCTCATCAGTAGAAATGAAGCCTGCAGGCAAGTTATTTTCTGCAGCTTAAGTTCTATTTAAGTTTATATAGGTTTAGGCATATTATACATACTGATGTTGATGTTTTCAGCAGCTCCCTTATGGCCATCGTTGCATAACATGAAGCTGGAAGAGTAAACCCTAACTTGAGAGCCATCTGGGTAGCCGCAGAATTAGAGGAATCAACAGATTCAGTTTTTCGAGATCCAACTTCTCTTTCACCCTCTTGTTCATTAACACAATCAATTTTATGACTGTCCTCATTTCCATCCACAGGTTCCTCATCTTTAACCATCTCCACGGGTTTGGCCTTCGTTATTTTGTCCAAATCCGTCTCTGCCAATGGCACATTAGCATCAGTATATTTGAGCAGTTCCCTGCAATAAAGGAAAAAGACCAGCAAATCAGTGAACAGAATTTTTTGAATATGTACTCCAACAAAGAAGGCAAAACAAAGATCCTAGAAAAAATATATGCATGCATACCACTTGAAGTCAATTGGCTTCTGGAAAACCCGCCTATAATTTCCAGTCATACAGGTTATTGAAAATTCCCTAAGGAAAGAATGTGTTTAGCTTCTATTAGAACAAAATAAAGAATATCCACGCATATAAAACAGAAAGAGATTGGATGAATTTGTCAAAAAAGAAGAGTAAATGAAGAAGGTTGGGAATAGGAAAATGGGTCATGAAGTGAAAGTTTCAGGAACAGTTTGAAGTACTTGACATTATGGACGCTCTCAGTCAAGTTGATGCTGTCCTGAACAAAAGAAATAAAATATCATTAATCCGGATGAAGCAAAATCATAAGCAAAAAATGTTGCATAAGAAAAATAAGCATCAAGTAGAAAAAGAGACCTCAAAGTCTAGAACTAGAAACTTTAGCAAAAATCATTTGAGGAACAAATCACTCTAGAATTAGAACAGAAAGGAAACCACAGAAAAGAGTTTTTAGAGTCCATAAGGTGGGCAAACCTTCTTTGCCAAATCATGATAAACTTCGGTAATATCATTTGATGGATATATCACTCTAGAACTACAAAAGAAATGAAATAACAAAGTTAGAAAAGAAGTAAAAATACAAAAATGTTCTATCTAAACTATATTGAGCAAGATTTATTGGCATTCTCTCACCCAGGCAATGGGAGGACAACATCATCAGCAGTATAAGTTCCAGCATGGATATCTTCTTCAGTTAGAACCTGGCAGTTGATAGATACCGTGCTGAAATTCTCAATCTTATATCGATAAACAGTATGAAAAAGCACACTACAGAATTTGCAGATCAACAAATTACAACTTCAGAATTTAATTAACAAGCAATGCATACTAATTTTTTTTAGATTTATCAACATATTTTTTTTTATAGAAACCACAAATCCATATTAATGCCCATGCACTATTAGAAGCATCTGTATTGGATCAGGTTTAATAAAACCACCAAACCTTGACAAGGTTCTTTTTTTCTTCAGGAGGATCTTCATCCATTTCAGATATCTCATCTACTGGACTAGAGTCAGAAACCTTGGTGCAGTTTTCATTTTCTCTTTCAGAAGCAAAACCTCCAGTCACCCATTGGGAGTTATTATTCTTACAGTATACCAAATCTCCTAACACGACTTGGTTGTTTCCTGCCCCAAGATAAATAACAAAACCAATTTACATAGTCAGCTAGCAGTTGTGGTCAAGTATTAAATACAAATAGTTTTATACAATAATGCAGATAGGAAAAACCAGCAACTATAAAAACTATTAAGAACATACCATATTTTTGCACCCTCTTACTTGCTGCATGGTTCCATAAATAGCTCTGATAGCTATGTACATACCTGCATAATAGTCAATATCAACACAAGATTTTCCCCTACTAAAGATAACATACGATGCTAATAGTTCAGAACTATTTATCTCTGTGCTGTGTTTTTTTTCCCCTTGAAAGATAGACTCTCTTCAATGAGGTAAACAGGCTCTAATTTCACTTTTTGGTAAGCGGAGGGACAGCAACAGAGAGTGTAATGGTATTATTTCCGTATAGTTTTTTCCAGGCCTGTTGTGATCTGATTCTCCCAGTCCAAAGATGGTCCCGGTTTACTTAAAGACAGAAAATTAATCTGCTCTTGTCCAAATTTTTGGAGAGAGGATGAATCAGACTGGAAAAATGGGATCACATAAATGGTCCTAAACTGATCCACTTCACATAGAGACTGTAAACTAATCTGTTCTGGTCCAAATGTTGAAAAGGATGAATTAGACCGAGCTATGGGCTCATATAAATGGTCCTGAACTAAGTCCAGTATAGTCCAGATCATTTTACATTTTCTGTTAATACAATTATAATTTAGAAATTCTAAAATTCCAAAAGAATAAGTATTCAAATTGAAAAAATACCTCATTTTATCAATGATTAAATGATACAATGTGTAGAAGATAAACTCGTTCTCAATATATATAAGAGAACTGCAGATATTTGTGTTTTATATTGAGAACAAGCAATTTCAAAAGTATTTAGAGAAGGGTGCTTTGTATAAAAAAGTGCAAAAAGGTGAGATTTAGAGCAGCCCGGGCTGCAAACCTTGAGTCAAGTCCAGCACCATCACTCTTGATTCAGTGCAATCCAATCCACAACTCTAGTGCCTGGTTCCTCAAATTCCTAGTCCCGGGAACTCTATGGTCAGGTTAGGCTGTTCATAACCCCTAAAGTAGTCCTGGAACAAGACCAGTCCGGATGACTCAATTCTTATACATGTGGACTGAGTCAGTTGCCATGTCAAATCTTCATTTGGCTCTTAAAAAGTATAATGCTAGCCATGCATCTCAATAATATTTAATTGACCTAAACACTTGCCTATAACTAAACTGACTAATAACAGACTAAATATCTACATAAGCATGTTTTTTTTGAAACACATTCAGGGTACTTAGTTTACACATGCTTTTCCAGTTATCTTAACAAGTCAGTCCATGTCCAAGAAATATTTTTGTTAGAATCTTCAATGAATTATGACCTTAAAAAGACATCTATAACTAAACTGTTACCCTATAATTAAACTGGTCAATAACATTCTAGTTATCTGTATAAGAATGTTGCTTTCAAGACACATCAAGGATAATCAGTTTACACATGCTGGTCTTTTTAACAAGTCAGTCCTTGTCTGAAGAAATACATTATTGTTAAATTTTAAATAAATTATGACAGATGCCTATGATGTATAACTAATGGAAATAAGAATGTGAACCTACATCTCCACTTACGAGCATCCGAAACATAATAATAAATATAGCCACAAGTATAGCAATCAAAGATTTAAAATATCAGCACATTTCTCTCAAAGACAAGCTATTCTCCTCAAAATGTGCACTAATATTCAAGGACAATTGCTTACATCATTCTCAAAGTCCTAGGTATAGCCTTCAGGGCCTGCAAATAGTTTCCAGGACATTTCTTCAGACACTGCAGCTGTTAAAAAGTAATTTTGTTATGATATGCCAAGAAAATTATTCTCATATAAAAACAGACATGAAGAATACAGATACTATCACCAATCATAACATAAAACTTACTATAGCTTTTTCAGCAACTAGGTGGGAAGGTAATTGCTTGAGCGTGCCATCAATATCACCAGTTTCCTTATAATATTCTCGTGCTTTATTTATTGCATTTTTTTGTATTTAAAGACCCAAGTCAAGGAAAACTGTCGCTTGTTCTTGTTGTAGTGTCTTAGAGAGGCCTTAACAAAATATAATAGTACAAAAGGAACCTAACAAAATATAATAGTACAAAAGGAACCAGTGACATGTAAAAACATTCTTCTAAGAAAAAATACAGTAACAGTAAAAGGATATCCCCTTCTCTTGGATCGAGAATCATGCTGATAGCAGTTTTCCATTCTCCTCTAAGTAATGCAGCTCCAACAAGGTGAGTTGGAATGAAGCCACTCCCAAAACGCTAAAAAATCATAATGGTTTTACAAAGTTAAAAGGATGCTTAATACATGGAGTATAGGCAAAGATGAGATAATATGTTTTCATTAAAGGGCCCGTCACAGTAATTGCCGTCACAGTAATTGCTTGAACTTGCTCTTATTTCTATAAAAAAAAGTGGAGTATACCCATTGCAATAGAGCTCTCAAGCTTCTCTACTCTTGTACCTATAATGGGGATTTTAGCACTCATCTTAGAAGAAGTATATTCCCAGTATGTACTATCCCTAGCATCTACATGAAACTATTGATACATTTGGCAATGTAGAAAAGAGGTTTATTTATTTTTTTATTCAGTTATATAGCCAAAAAATTATCATATAATCTTCTAAGGAATCTTTTAAAGTTGCTCTCACAAGCAGAACAGGCCCAAACAGAATAAACAACTTGTTCACTTACAAAACAGTTTACATTTTTAAGCTGTGAAGCTGCAAATATAAACCATTTTTGACAACAGTTATGATTTCAAAAAAAAAAAAAAACTATTGGGACACGACAAAAAGTTTACAATGGATCATCTTAGCTACAAATCAATCTTCCAGTCAGTCATAACAGGAAAAGGAGGAAAAAGAAGACCACAGGAAGAAAGAGAATCAAGGAAATACTTGTAAACCAAAGTAGTTGACGAACCCCTCCCTCCCTAAGGAATCTACAGATGCTTTTATAGTATCTTCAGAATCTGCAACAACTCCCCTGAGGAGACGCAACTGAAGTGAGTAAATACCATGAAAAGATTGGACAACAAGGAGCCTAATCAAAACTAAGAGAAATATGAAATTAGAATATCTGACAGTATTCTCACCGTAATGTGGTTGTAAATCTATTTCCCTAAAAGCTGTCCAAGAAGTAGTTCTTCCTTGACATTGCTGGAAAAAAAAAAGCCATAAAAATGCATACCCCCACAGAGTAAAATTGACAGGAGAGTAGAGAGCTCAAATTCATTGACCTCACCAGAAGTCACCCACTTTGATACCAATCAACCTTTTATTAAGTGCAGCTAATCTACTGGCCTGCTGCTTGAAAACAGTCACCTGGACTCCACAAAGAAATACTCCAATGAAACATCAAATAAATAAACAACTCACAGTGATGTGAAATCAAATCACACTTGGAACATCTAAATCTGGGAAGAAATTGAATAAAACATGCGTTGAGCTACTGTATTGATATTCGGATTTAAGTAACACCATTTATTTGGTTATTCAAGTAGCAAACTGGAATTTATTGGAGTGATTTTTATCCTTTTCTAGTACAGAAAAAACCTAATAAAGACATCTCCCTGAATAAGAACCACCAACTCAAAATGCAAAGTTCTTAAGCTCTTCAAAATATCCTTTTTTTGGAGTTTAGACTTAATTTGACGCATATAAAAATTAACACTATTGGACTCAACTGCACTGGATAATTTTTATCAACCTTCAAACTTTTGCTCTACATTTAGTAACAGGTCAGAAGCATTTGAATGTTCAAAAACATTGTGGGTGCAACCACGTAAAACAAGATTATCCAATTTTTTTATTTGGGTGAGCTTAACCTCCTGAATGAGCATTTAGTTACAAGTTAGAGACAGCAATATACACGTATGGAAAAAAAGGGATAGGAATAGACAGAATATAATTGTCAAGACAACACTCAAGACACGCGACAAAAGAAATAGAGAGACCAACTTACTCGTTGTGTGGAAACAGAGCGTTTATCTTTTGTCCCCGCAAAACCAAATGACCTTGGCTGTCAAATAAAAAAATTCAAGGATAACAAATCAAAGAGCATGATTAGGAGGCTGTTGTATATATCAATTATAGAATTTATAATGCCTGCCAGGGCCTGGCCAAAAAAGAAGGAGAAGAAAGAACGAAGGAAAAAGCAAAAGACCACTTCCAGATCCTTAGCAGCTATTGCTCAACTGCAAGATGTGGCAACCCACCTATTCTGGAAGAATGAGGCCACAGGCCTAATTTTACTTCTTTTAGTTACAAGAGCGTGCAGATAATGGAAAGAGCATAGTAAATATGAACGAATATGATGTACCTGTATTCCCAGCATCTTTCCAATCAATTTTAAGGCTTCTTGTGTGTCCTTGTTCTCCTTATAAAGATGAAACCTGAATATTTATATATATTTGCAGAAACTTTCAGATGTTGTTCAAGTCGAAGTAAACTTCACACTATGAATAATCAATTAAGGGTGTGCCTCATGGCCAACCTGACACAGGAGATAACGCATGGTAAAAAGACAACAAGTCAATTTAGTATGAAGATAACTTGTTTTAAACCTAACTACATGCCAATCTACATTTCCCTTAGAGATGTTTTCAATTAACACATTAATGATTTTGCTTTTCACACAAAACATAAGTAGCATTTCAAACTTCTGATGAAGATGTTTTACTTTTAAAGCCAAAAAAGAAAGTATCATTTCAATTGCAACATCTTTGTATTTGTTTGGAAATCTGACTGAAAGAACATGTAATCCGGCTGCATGATTTTGCAGAATGAGAAGCATCAGCCACCTCACATATATTAATTACCTAAGGAACTTTCCTAGATGCTCTGGCCAATTTTCTGAACCTCTGCTATCAAAAGGTTTATCACCTCTCTCTTTCCGTTTCTTGGAATTTCTACCCCTGTTATTTTGCCCACCAGAGTTTAATCTCACCCGAATGCACTTTGATAAAGAGTCAGGCCCATCAACTGTATCAGTTACTAGGAATTTGAAGTTCTCCTTAAAGAAATTATGCACTGCCTGAAAAATGAAACACCAATCAATCAATTGAAAGAAAAAAATTGTGAAGGAAGTTGAGGTTAGCAATTGAGGTTTGAAGTGAACCTAGAACTAAAAACCGTAGAGCCAAAAGAAACCCACCCAACCAAGGTGGGATCAATCATCTCAGTCCTCAGTTCTCAAATTTCAATACAATTCCTAATTTTGTGATTATTATTATTATTATTATTATTATTAGATTCATCCCATCCTGAATTCTACTCAACCAAACCTCAATTACAAGACTCGCCAGCATCGAATTACAAGGATTCACCCTATCATTACCGTTCTATGGGACTTATCACAACTTGGATTAAGAACAACAGGTGAGATGTCATTTTCGGTGCTCGAAGTGATTTGATTAATTAAAGCTTCCAATAGCTCAGCATCAGCATCACCGGCAAGTGCTCTAAATGATTCAACTTCAGAATCATAGCTTTTGCTTATCTGATCAGATTTTTTTGTTCGCTCTTCCTCCTTCGCACTCTGTGTGGACCCAAAATTAGCAAAAATCATATAAACAGATATGCATTCATGCCATATAAAGGAAAATAGAGACTGAACTTAAAGATAAATTTTCGACAAGAGAAAATAAGTTACCTACCTCTAAAGGAGCATCCAGACAAGTCAAATGAACAACATTTCCATCGGTATCCACTTCATTCACAATAAAGTCAGAGTACCTAAAGAAGTCTCAGAACCAGAGTCCAATTGTTACCCAAGAAATCATTAAAATGAACCAAAATAATCAAGAGAACAGTATCAAATAACAATCCAACAAAACACACACAGAAAATATCCACACTCAATCTTGATTCCACTAAATAAGGACTAAACAACACCCAGGATATATACAACACCAAATAAAAGTAAAGACTGTAGCACAATCTCATAACCCGGATAAAGAATCCACATTTTCTCAAACCCAATACCCAAAACTTCGAATTACACTCTTCCGAATCCAATTAGCGTCTAGAAATGCTATAATTTGTGTGTTTGAGTGATATGCATGTGGATGAATGTGTGCAGGGTTTATCTTAAGGACCTTTGTTTGAGAACGCCACGAAATCCAGGGAGCTGGGAGATGAAGCAGGAGATTCCCACATCAGATTCTTCTATGGTTGTCATTGCCGTTAGAGTTTTAATGGAAGTGCCAATGCTCGTATAGTTGCTGCAGATGTAGGGTTTTAAAGCCGAGAAACACGACGCCACAGCGTTAAGCCTCATTACGTAGTGGGAGAAGAAAGCGGTTAATTTGCATAGCTTCAATACGCACCGTTTAGTTCGGTTGACTTCCGTTGACCGAGTCAAATTCGGTAAATGGGCTGGGCTGTTTGATTTGAAGTGCATCGTTCTCTTTCCAAAATTTTGTTTTATGTAACATTACCTATACGGCACCGTTTTGATAGCAGACGGCACCGTTTTAAGACTGGACGGCTCCGGGGGAAACCCAAAAAGTGGAGCGCATTGGACGGTCGTGATTGGAACCCAAAAGCCGAGGGGGGACCTACCACATTGCACTCACTGACGAGAAACGCCATGCTTGCGAGTTTCTCCGAAACAAACTGTTGGAGGAAGCAGAAGGGAATTAATACCAAGTCAATTTAGTCTCTCCTCTTCCCCCTACTTCCGTATCAGGGAGATCCTGAAAGCATCTTTTTTGGTTATATTCTTTGAGACTGTAAGAGATGGTGACCAAAACGGAGGAGACGCAGTTGAAGAGATTGGAGGACCAGGTCGATAATGGAGGAGGAGGAGCCTGGGAGTACCTCTGCCTCGTTAAGAAGCTCAAGGTTAGGCGTTCTGAGAAAGTTTTGAAGCATGGTTTGTCGATCTTGAACGACCCTAAGAAGAGATCTAGTCTCGGCCCAGATGGTCAGTCTGTTTTTCTTCTCTTCGTATTTGATTTTTCCTTCCTGGTTTTTGCAATTGAGTTTTGCATGATTCCAAGACTTGTGAATCGAATTTGACTTGGCGAGACTTTGAATTGCTGTATGAGTTTAGATTTGGGTTTCGTCTGGTTTTGGTACTTGCGGACTTTATTTGAATCGGGTATGAGTTTAGAATTGCTTCTACTTAGTGAGGAAGAAGGCTTATAGTCTCCATACTGCAGGCTTCTGGACTTTCTATGTTTGTGAATTATTTTGATTAACAGTGAAGTGACTATTGAGCTAATCAGTTTTTATTATTGGGTTTTTTTCTGGTCTTAATGGCAACAAGGTTGATCTTAATTGGGAATAAGATAAATACTATTGGATATTTTTTAATTTTCCGAGTGAATTTTGTGTGTTCTTTTTCCTGGTTGATTAGTGCAAATTGAATATTTTGGAGTAAGTAATAAAACTGGTATATTGTGCAGAAGCTTGGTTTGTTTTGAATTGTTTTATATTTTTTCATTAGTGGGTTTTCTCTGGTTTTCTTAGCCTTCGTAGGTGATTATTTTGTGATAGGGAAATACAGATATTCTCTTTCTTCGCAACCCTTCTAGATTACTTTTTTTTTTTAGGGAATCCTTCTAGCTTACTAAAAAAAGGTATTATTCATGATGCCTCCCTCACCCCAAATTCATTTTGATTAGGGATTATCCTCTCTATCTTTTGATGATTTAGAGGGACTTGATTGACTTGCTAACATAATTGTAAAACTTTTGTATACAGGTTGGACTCCTTGGTGCTTTTAATAAACTTTGGGATTGTAATTCTTTAGTAATACCGAAATATCTTTATTTCCCTAATGACTGATCTGGAGATTCTTAAGAATAAATCCTTCTACCTTGCCCTTCCTAAACCTGTCCAGTGCAGTCAGTGGCTCGATTGAGGATGAATTATGGGCTTCGGATGGTATTTGGGTTTGCAAGATGGGGAGAAAACTTGTTTTCCTCATTCTAGTTGCTACCGTTTAGTTTATTTGGAAAAAAGGAACATGAGTTTTGTTTAGTGGCAAGCATCTTTATAACAAATAGGCTTGAGGAAAACTCGTAATTTTAGTTTCTTGTCACAAGTTGTAAAAGCTTCTTTTCTACTTGGGCGGCACCCTCTTGGTGTTTAAATACACCTTCTCTATTTTTCCTCTCAAAACAAAATGATTCTTCTAATTTGTGCTTAAAACTGCTGCAATGGCAAAAGATACTTATCAGCTAGTTGGAAGTTGCTTCTGTAACTTCATAGTCGGAGGTAATGATGTATTTTTTGCAGCTAACTAGTTCAAATGTTTTTATGCAGAATGGACTCTATATGAGCAGGTAGCCGTTGCAGCTATGGACTGCCAGTGTCTTGATGTTGCAAAGGTATGTGTTTGTCATTCTGCTATAATCTTTTGGAATTGTTCATCTTACACGATTACTGTAATGAGCATGTGCCGAGAATCTCTTCTCCGTTTCTCACTCTCCCTCACTTGCATTTTTACTTTTTTCCTTTATCACTTTTTATCAATGAAATTAGAATGATATCCTATCTATTGAATCTAGTGTGTGGTTGTCAGGAATCTTATAATTCTTGACAGATTGTTGTTTCATGGCTGTAATTTTTTACTTTTTTAATTTCTGTAATCTTTCCTGTTGAATTTGAAGAAAATCCACGCATTTTTTTATAAATTTGTTTGCATATGGCTTGAGAAAATCTTATATCTGAAACTTATTTCCTATGTGTTAATTTTTGGAATCTACTTCAGTCTTATGTGAGGTCTGACTCATTTATTCTTTGCCTGAAATATGGATATGTTCAGTCAATATCTGCTTATTTGGTAAACGCCAAACAGCTATTGATACTTTTTTATTAGTTGATATTTGATATGAGATAATATTATGAATTAGTTTGGACTTTGCAATGCTTTTGCAGGATTCCATAAAGGTTTTGCGGAAGGAATTCCCTGAGAGTAAAAGAGTTGGTAAGTTCGCATAAACTAAAATAGAAAATATATATCCCTATATGAATATTTATGGGAACTTCTAGTAAAAGTAAGCTTGTATGTGTTATATATGATGGACAAGTGAGTCATTTTCATTCCTCCCAAATTCTACCTTCATATATTAATAACTTCCATGCCCATTTAGAAGCTTCTTCCAAAACATCATCCTCATTTCCTTTTTGCTCAAAAAATTTACTCAGAAAACTCTAATTGTCTAGCTTTTAGTGGCTTAGAGCTTTATTCTTCAAAAACTTAAACTCTCTTTTAAGTGATGCAATTCTGAAAATATTTTATGAAAAGAAGAAAGTACATAATCAGCAATCACTTAAAAACAAATATAGACCTGTCAATTAGCAAGCAAACTGACTTTTTTGCTATTACCAGTTACAGCCAAATGGAAAGGAGTCCATATTTCTGTTTATTAGTTCAATGGACTGATCAGTCATCCATCAATGAAAAATTTGTCATTGCAACCTTTTTTTCTCACTTCTTACATCTATCTCTGTCCCTCTCTTCTCCACTCCTAAGAAAAAGAAAATGAAAAGAAAAGATAAAAGAGAGGTAGTCCTTTTTTTTTCTTTTCTTCACTCGTATATACAGAATTAACAGCTGATGTTTTGATATTTATCTGCTTCCAAAATATTTAGGAAGATGTCATGGATGCTATGCACTGCCAACGTTTGATATGATGCCCTTGTATTTTTGTTTCACATGCATCAGGCAAGCTCGAGGCAATATTGCTTGAAGCAAAGGGATCCTGGATAGAGGCTGAAAAAGCATACTCGACTCTCTTGGAGGATAATCCGCTTGATCAAGTAAATTCTGTGATCATTTTTTCATGAAGAAGATACTTTTCATTTTTTCTGTCTATCTTATTTGACAAAGATAAATGTTTCTCTAAAACCAGAAATGGTTGTGTATGTCTAATCAATCTCCATTTCCAATGCAGGTAATACATAAAAGGAGGGTAGCTATGGCAAAGGCACAGGGCAATCTCCCAGGGGCCATTGAATGGCTCAATAAGTACCTTGAAATGTAATACTGCAAACTTTTTCTTAAAGGAAAAAGTTACTGTTTCTTTTTATATGTAGATATTGGAATATGACTGATTTGTTTTGACTCTATCACAACATTTTTTTAGATTTATGGCGGACCATGATGCATGGAGAGAGCTTGCTGAAATATATGTTTCCTTGCAAATGTGAGGTTTTTTTGCACTTCTTTTATGAAATTATTGTGGAAGAAATTGCCATTCCCATCTATAAATCCTGATCTCACTTTTCTGTGTATAAAATTAGGTACAAACAAGCATTATTCTGCTATGAGGAGCTTATACTGGCTGAGCCCACAATTCCACTTCATCACCTTGCATATGCTGATGTAAGTGCATTCTTTATTTCTCGCAATTAGTTTCTGCATGTTTCAGCGAAGTGCTACTTTGATTTTTTGTGTACTCACAGACAAGCATGAACTATATTTTATTGATGTGAGAAGTTAGAAGTAGGCTTCCTTGTCCATTAGTTTTCTCGAGCAGTAAACAAGTAGATATTCCACTCTCCCAAAGAGAATATGGCTAGATTAGTCATTGTTGGTTAAATTCTGCCCCATGTTGCACTAGTGGACAATGTCATAACCAGAAGTTCCCTGTACAACAAGACCAAAGGTTTTGGTCCAACAAGCGAAACAACCATTTGAAGGTTACATAAAGGCTTCAAAGTCATTTATGACAAGCTGCTTTTTCATGTTTGCAAAGTATTTTATGCAATTACTAGTGATCACTTGTCAGTATTACATTAGAATTTAAAATCATGAATACTACTTTGAAGGGCTTGCTTCTATATTATTTTGACAATTCTTCTGATGTCAGCGAATCAATGTTTTATCTAGCATTACTTTCTGATAGTGACATAGTTAAAATATTTGTCATGGCATGAGGACATAGTATAATGTAATTAACTTGACCTATAGTTTGTTTGTTTTAAAGAAAAAAAAAGCAAGGGAAAAACATAACTGGTAACTGTAAGTATAACTTGAGCTATAGACTCAGTGTGACCAATAAATGGTTTTTTCTGCCTCTGGTTGATAGGTGCTCTATACTCTTGGTGGACTAGAAAATCTTCTGACAGCCAAGAAATATTATGCATCCGCCATAGACCTGACTGGGGGCAAGAATACCAGAGCACTTTTTGGTATATGCTTGGTGAGCTCTTTCTCTCTCTCAGAAAGATCTGCTTGTTTGAATTCATCCATTCTTTTGCTTAGTACCTAATATTTGGAGTTCTGTTTTCTCTATAGCCTTTTTCTTTTTTACGGATAATGAGTTTTTATGACTAAGAAAAAGCGCTATTCCTGTTATTCAGTGTACCTCTGCCATTGCACAGCTTTCCAACAACCGGAACAAGGAAGATAAAGAATGCCCAGAGCTGCAATCTCTTGTGACAAAGGCATTGGAGAAGCACTACAAGCAAAAAGCTCCTGAAAAACTTCCTCAGCTTGCTTCTACCTTCAGAAGTTTGAGGATTTCATCATAACTTCTTTGCCATTGATTAGATATTCTCACGATTGCCCACTACGTCCAAATGGAAAAGGGCTCATCTGCAACTCTTCGTCAAGTAGTTTAAATTTTGCAAATGCTTGAGATTTTAGTACATTGAAATGAGAAAAACTAATCTTTCCCTCATGTGCTTTATTTTCCTTCACGATTATTTTTACAGTTAACATATTCTTATCGGTTCCTTGAGGTCATTAACATATTGTATTACCCATCATACACCAGTGGTAAGCCGGTGATGTGAGATAAGATTCTTCCTCCTGCATAATGTCAGATATAATTCGCTTTCCATTAGCTTGTTACTTCTTTTTGTCTCCGATGTACCAATATCATCCATTCTTTCATTAGTAGAAGCTTGTTGGATCCTTCTTGGGGTGATAATAAGTACTAGTGAGACTGGACTCATGCTCTTGACAGAGTAACTCAGGTAGACAATACTGCAAAATAGATTCTTCCTGTATCTTCAGATTTTGGTTCGGTTGTCTGCAATTTTGAACTCATTCCTCTTTATTTCTTCTTATATGAAAACTTCCAGTTAAGAGATCTGGTATTTAGGCTAGAGAATATCCCAGATAAAGGCCTAAAAGTTTTTAAGGTAACATGGTATGAAGCTTTGTTAGTGTGACTTAGTTTGGTTCAATTTCCCTCGATGAGTTTAAGTTTCAGCTGTTCATCGTGCATAGTTGCTCAGCATCTTTAAGCTTTTCCGAAATTGCTTACCTAATAACAGATTGGGGAGATAGAAGGAAGTTTGTCATATCTGCCCCAATTTTCTCCTGGTTTCTGATGAGTGAAAGTAATTAATCATTCAGTCTGGTTTTTCCTTCAAGAACTTCAATCTTGCTCTTTTCCCGTTGGATCATATTATGCAAAATTTTTAAAAGAATGTCATCTTGCACAGTGTTTTTCGTAATTTAGAGTGCATGTGCTCTTTCTTCTACCTCATTGTGCCTAATTTGGGGTGTTGCAGAAACATTTACGTTTAGAGTGGTTTAAATATATTTTATTTTTATTAAATTCTTAAATATAAGAGTTATTTATATATTAAAAATATATTAACTTTAGTGAAAGTTTGAATTTTCAGTTGACTCAGAGTGAGATAAAGAGAGGGTATTTTGAGTCTTCTTAAAAAATATGAAATTTATTTCTAAATTTTACTAATTTTTATGAAATTTGAAATTAATTGCCACAAATCCTTATATAATTCATTTTGAATGAATCTTTTTATTTAATTTCATATTTTAAATTTTGGAATTTTATAAAATTTATTTATTTTAATAAAAATGTAATGACTAAATTAAAATGTGATTATACCAGCATTAATGTAAACGGATTCTGCCAAAAAGGTAAATTATTTTCAACTTCTGCGCACCAATTTCATACAAAAGCCAAGATGGATTCAGAACATTGGGCTGACAATGTTCTGAATCACAAATTGCTGCTGCTAGCAAACAGATGGTAAAGTTCTCCAAGGAATCAAAAAAGTCTACCATAATCCCTCCAAACTTTTCTCTGTACTCGTCCCGGCTGTGAGCTTCATCTCTTGCTTCTCCCCATATTTTCAGAATAAGAAGATAGTAAATTTGTGGAACCGGAGAGCTGTAAAGAAAGTGAATTCTTATAATGCAACTGACATACTCCTAAATCTGAAATGTTAGTCTGAGTAAGGTATATGTGATTTAGAAGCTAAGCTACCTTATCCCATAAGGCAAACTGAAGAAGAGAGCTCGAGACAGCTCCTCTACATAATTCCCTTTCAATCGAAACATCGAGTGCTGTAGTGTCATGTCTTGAAAACCATGATCGTTGAGAGCTTAATGATGCTATATCTCTCTGTTTACGTTTTGGCCGCAGCAGAGAAACTTTCATTCAAGCTCAAGTCTTCCATTCCTTTGCTGCTCATTTCTGAGCAAACAATCTGGGCCTCTACCAATCTTCCCTCCTCTCTAAGGCCGGTGATAAGTTCTTTGCAAATACTGAAGGTTAGCTTGATTCCATTCTCAAACATTTCTCTGTACCAAGAATATGCTCCACTGAAATCTTTCAGCTCACAGTATCCCCTAACCAGTATCTGGTATGTATCAGCTTTGGGACCCAATCCATTAGCCTTCATATCCCTAACCAAATTCTCAACTTCCGACAAATTTCTCACCCTAAACTGCCCTAAAATCAAGCTATTGTATGTCATCTTATCTGTCTGAATTCCCTGATCTACCATATCACGGTACAAAGTGAATGCCTTCTCAACATTCCCATGCTCTACATAGCAGTAAATGAGTGCATTATATACAACTCGATCAGGAGCTAAATGCATCTCTAACATTTCATGGAATAATCTCTCTACAAGCTCTGTTCCTTCCTTTGCACATACAGTAATCAAAGGATGATATGTTTTCAAAGTTGGTTTAATACCCAAGTTTTTCATATTTTTGTACAATTCCACACATTTCTGTATGTTTCCTGAATAGGAGTATCCAGATATTAAGGAGTTATATGTTATCACATCAGGACTAAGACCTTTACTTTTGATTTGAAGAAGCAAGTCTTCGGCTTCCACTACCCTTGCTTTCTTGCAGAGGCCGTTAATGAGTGCATTATATGTTACAAGGCTTGGACCTGGTTCACTTTTCTGCATATCATCAAAAAACCTAAAAGCTGCTTCCAACTTCCCCACATTACAATTACCATCAATGAGCATATTATATATCTGTGCATTTGGCAAAACTCCTCTTTCCATCATATCTCTGAGTAGTATTTCAGCTTCAAGAAGCTTACCATCTTTGCATAAACAATTTATGAGAGAACCATAGCTGACAACATTAGGCATTATCCCTTTGCTTTCCATTTCATCAAGAATCTGAAAACACCTATCGAATTGACAGATTTGCCCGTAACCATCAATTAAGATGTTATATGTCTCTACCGTTGGAGAAACACCCTTCTCCCTCATCTCCTTTATCCACTCTTCCACCTTGCTCATCTCTTTCATTTGGCAAAACTTGTTGACCAAGGAATTAAAAGTAATGCTATCAGGCCTCAATCCCCTATCTTCCATCTCTTGCATTGTCGAAATGGCTGAAGATATGTCACCCTTTTGACAATATCCACTGACAATTGTGTTGTATAGAACCATATTCGGAACAAGCCCGTTTTCCATTTCTTTTCTTAAAATCTCTTCCGCCTTCTCGATCTTCCCTTCTTTGCACAATGCATTCAACAAAATGCTACACGTGTACCGATCAATTTTTACCCCTTTGTCGACTGCTTTCTCGTACAAACTCATTGCAGCATCACCATCACCATTCCTTGAAAACCCATCAAACAATATACAATATGTAAACTTATCATGCACAAAGCCATAACCTTCCATTTCTTGCAACACTCTCTTTGCATCCTCCATCCTTCTTGCTTTACAAAGACCATTAAGCAATGAATTAAAGGTAACAAGATTTGGTTCCACATTTTCTTTTTTCATACGTTCTCTCACATTAAAAGCTTCTTCCAAGTCTCCAACTTTGCAATACCCATCAATCAGAGTATTATAAGTAACCTGAGTAGCCACTAACTTTCTCTTGATCATTTCATCATACAGCTTCTCTGCATCCTCCATTCTCTTCTCCTTACACAACCCGCCAATGATCACGTTATAAACAAACACAGTAGGACTAACTTTTTCCTTCTTCATACTATCAAGTAATTCAGTAGCCCTTTTCAAGTCACCCAGCTTCACCGCCGCTTGTACGGCTTTTCCAAACATGACTTTGTTCGGCCTGAAACCGGACTCGACAATCTTCGAGAACAGCTCAAGGGCCTTATCAAACTGACGTGAAGAAACCAACGAATCAACTAACACAATGAGCGAATCAAAAGAAGTAAAAATACCATCTTTCATCATCAAGTTGAACAATTCAATGGCCTCATCGTGCATTTTGGAGTCTGACAAGATTGACGAATAACATGTTTGAGAAAATCGGCTTCAAGGAGGGTGAGGCGATAGAGAACAA